TGAGCCGGTGAGATTTGAACCGCTGACCTGCTGATCTAGCAGTAGCCTGCAGTGCTGCATTTAACCACTGCGCCACCTTTGATTTCAAGGACCACTCCTCTTTTCTTACAGGTTGCCAATGAGGTAAGCATTTTCCCCAGCTTTGGTTGCCTTAATAAGTATTCATGTTGGTTTTGAATATGCACTTCTTGTAGACAAATTATATCCAATTTTAGTTTCCCTAAGTTTTGAAATATTTCCTTTCTTTTATTTGTTGATTTAAGTCCATTTAAGTTAATTGAAATCATTTTCTTCTCTTCTATATTTATGTTTTACACAGAGGATGTATTGCTCTGGTGGCGCAAGGGTCTCGAAGTTCTCTAATATCCACGCCACCCACAGCACCTTCTTCTATCTCGATCCCGCCTACCCTCCCTTCTTCTTTTTCAGTCGAAGCTGAAGTCACCGCTCCTGGTTCTGTCACTGATTCTTTATGTCCATTCTCCTCAGCCTTCCCTCCAAAATGTTCTTCAAAAAATGATTTTGCTTTTTCGATTGAATCTTTTCTGCATCTTTGTCCTTGCCGTACAAACATTAAACCTTCTGGTATCAACCATCTGTAATTAACGTATTTTTTTAGTAGGATTTTAGTCAAAAATTGATATTCTCGATTCTCTCACTTTTCTTGGTATTTGCTTCAAAACTACAATCTCCTTGCCTTTCTACTCCTTTTGTTTCTTTAAGTAATCCTACATAAAACATTCTGTGGCAAAGCAGATAAGAATATGAAGCTGCTGAAAACAGAGGAAACGCCTGCAAAAGGATGAAGGCTCCGGACGACAGATCTGCACGACAGATCTACTGTGAGGGCGGAATTGACTCTGACGGAAAGAGAGGCCAATTTGTGTAAAACACAATTTGCTGAAATGACACACAGAGCACAAACTCTAAATACGATTCCTGGTATTAAACGCCAACAGCAGAGGCAAAAGAAAAAGGAATTAAACAGCCCAACTGGAAGAAGCTGATTTTCCGTAGAGAATAGAGAGCCTCCGAACAGATGTTACTGCTGGGCTAAATTTTACTCCCAGGAAACTGATGCTGCTTCCACTTTCCAGCTTAGACCCCAGGCTGAGAGCAGATGCTAAACCTTCCCGCCCTCAAAGTCCTTCCAAGCAGGATGGGTTTTTAAAAATGCCTCCACTGAAGGGGATCCACTTGCTGCTTCCGGCCCACCAGGTGCTTCGTTATTAGCATTTTTAAAAGGTGATATTAGCATTTTAGCCTGGAGCCTCTCCTGTAACTCTCCAGTTTCCCAGCCAAGGCCGTTTCCTTTGAAGTCCAGCATGGAGAATCCGGAGCCCCTGAATGGGCTTGCAAGCCTTAAGAAAGGGATGGGCGCAACCCAGGAATTTTCCACTTCTATTGTGCGGTTGGTGGCTTCGTGTTGCTTCTAACAAATATACAACACAGTAAAATACACTACACACACACACACACNCCGAATGGCTCACCTTGCCTCCTCCGGTTGCCCACTTTGCGGAAGCTGCTCCCCTCGCAGAGGCGGTTCAGGCGCTGCTGCTTAATGAGCTCCAGGATCTCCGGCTGGATCTTCTCCCGCAGCTCCCTGGGGAAGGCCAGCCAGCAGGCGCATCAGAGGGTTGGGGTGGGTGGGAGTCTCCCTCCACCGCCCCCACCCCCCCCGAGGCACTCACACGATGGGCGGGGACTGGATGTCGTCCTGGCTCATCCGTTCCGACTGGCGCAAGCGCAGGACCTCCGAGTAGGCCAGGTTGCGCAGCCTGCCCTTGAACTGGTCCAGGGAGGGCGGCTTGGCGGGCAGCGCCCGGGTGATCTGCTCCCGCACCACCTGCATCACCTGGCGGAGGAGGAGGAGGAGCAGGAGGAAAGCAGAGGCATTGCAGGGCTGCAGAGGGAGGAGGAGGAGGAGGAGGAGGAGGCCAGGTGGGCCCCTCCACACAGACCACCCACCCACCTTGTGGAAATCCTCGGCCGTCGCCCGCATCTCCTTCCAGGTCCTGTTCAGCAGCTGGATGCCGATGACGAAGAGCTCCTCCAGGGCCTGGTCATGCGTGAAGAACATGGGGTGGTAGTCGTTCCGGCCCTCGTTGGCTTTGCGGAGGCGGGGAGGAAGAGAGCTGTCAGAGCGGCCGGGGTGGCCCCCTTCCCCCCCCCAGGCTTTTGAGAGGGAGGGGGAGATCTGGGGCAAAGACTCCCAGGCTGCCTGGGGGCCTCAGGGGAAAACCACCGGGAAGGGCAGTTGGTGTGTGTGAGAAACTGCACAAAAACGTCCCGGCTGATACACAGGGATCCTCCCGGCCGTCCCAGGACTCTGAGTGGCAGAGCAGAGCTTTGGTCTTCCCGACCGACTCTTGGGACCCTTCCCCAGCCGATGGCAGCCCAACAGCCCTCCATGCGCAAACAAACCCCGCCCACCCACCCTAGGGCCGCCACCGGTAAGGTGCCCTGCGGGGCCCAGAGCAGGAGGGGAGAGCTTGACCAGAGAGCAGCGCCTGCTCTGGCCCCGAATGGCTCCCCTGGGAGGGGGGGGGGGAACCAGACTCCACTTACGAAGTTCTCCAATCTGCAGGATCTCGCACAGCATCTTGGTGAGCTCAATGGCGCTGCGGCCAAAGGGGCAGGCATGTTTGTCCTCCGGGCTGCTGTTCTCCAGGATGATCTGTGGGGCAGGAAGAGAGGCCCGGAGTGAGTGGGGCCCGGGCGGCTGCCTGCGCAGCTCCTCCGTGGGGGGGCGGGGGGGGAAGCCGGGCCCCTTACTCGGGTGTAGGCGTCCTGATGGTGTTTGGCCAGGTAGAGCATGTTGTCCAAGGCCAACATGCCTGGGGGGGTCTGAAGGAAGTCCAGGGCAGGATTGACGGGGTTCTGCGGAAACAAAGGGGTCTCTCTTGACCCCTGGACTGGCAGCCCAGCCGGCCTTCCCTCTCCGCCAACCGCCAACCGACCGTGAAGCCGAGGGTCTTGTAGTCCCTGGAGTAAATGGCCTTGCGCTTCTCTGCTCCGCCGCTTTCGGCCTCAACCTCGAAGGCGATCCTGCGCAGCTCAAAGAGGGCGTCCCGTTGAGCCTGCTTGGGACAGGGGGGAAGCTGAGCCGGCCGGCGGCGGCAGCCGGACCCTTCCCGGAAGGCCGCCCAGGGTTGCCCTGCCCCCCACCTGGTCGCTGGGGTCCATTTTTGTCATCATCCGCTCCTCCCGGAGGTTGAGAGTCAAGACCTGGAGCACGTACAGCTGGTGGGCCATCTCGGTCTTGATGGGGCGGTTCCCTCGGATGACGTGCTGGGGAGGGAGAAGGCGGTCAGGAGGAGCAGCTCCCACCACCTCACAGCCATCAACTGGCCCAGGCTGCTGTGGGCGCCACGATGCCCGCCAGCTGGCAAGGGCAAGCGGCCTTGCAGGATGGCAAGGCCTAAGCGAAGGGAAGGCCGAGGGAGGGCAGGGCTACCGAGGGGGGGCCTCTTGGACCCCGGTCCTCACCGTCAATATGGCCGAACGCAGCTGTTTCTGGGCGGAGGCATCTGCCATCTCCTGCCAGGAAGGTAAAAGGGAAATTGGGCAGGGGAGCGGAAGGGAGGCAGAGGGGGCACCTTCCAGACCCCCCCCCCACCTGTGCCGCTCCCCAGCCCACCAGGGAAGCCAAGACCCCACAACGGGAGTAGCCTCCTGCCGTCCTTTGCGCCCCCCCCCCCNTTGCAAGCCTTAAGAAAGGGATGGGCGCAACCCAGGAATTTTCCACTTCTATTGTGCGGTTGGTGGCTTCGTGTTGCTTCTAACAAATATACAACACAGTAAAATACACTACACACACACACACACACCCGTTAGTAAATGCCGTTTGCTTTGCCTGAAGGACTTGTGGCTCGCATTGTCAAAGTGGGGGTGGGGGGGCTTTGCAAAGGTGTGCTCTTTCTCCCTCAGACTCGGGGTCCAGGCTCCTCTCAGGCCCAGGCCACGGGGTGCCCAGTCTTGACAGGTGGGAGGGCAGGCTCCCTTCCACAGCTGGCACCAGCAGCACCATTTGCCCATTGCCAGCACTGCCAGGCGGCCATGGATGCTCTGGAGCGACATGACAAACGTCCCTCCGCTTGCTCACTCCGTGGGAGTCCCCCCCCCCCCCAAGCCCAGACACCTCCCGGCCAGCCCTGGAGTTATGGGCCAGGTGCTTTTGGCCGAAGGCCTGTCAAGTGGTGGGGCGCTCTGGGCCAGAGGCTCTTTGGCCGTTCAGGGAGCCCCTTCCCTCCCCCTTGAGAGCCACTTAACCTGGCCTTCCAGATGCCAGGCACCTTGTGGGCTCAAGCACAACCACCGGCTGCCCCCAGCCCCCCCCCCCCCTTGACTCTTCCAGCTGAACAGGCCCACGCAAGGAAACTCCCCAATGGCAGAAGGATGGGGGGATGCCACAAGGAGGCTCCCGGGCACCAACTGCAGGGGTTAATGCCCTGAGCAGCCAAGTAATTGGGAGTCAATCTGGGCACCCGGGGCGTGAATTGATAGCTGGGTGCCGAAGGCCAGGAGTGCCAGCTCTCAAGAAGAGGAAACCCGTGTAGCCTGCGGACATCGCAAAGCAACAAGCTTCATAGAAAGGTCTCCAGGAAATTAACGGTCCCCCAGCCACAAGACAAGGAGCCCCGGGTTCTTCCGTCCCTGACTCAGCCGGAGAAGCAGAGTCCCAGGCAGGAGAAGGAAGGGCTGACAGAGCCAGGCTGGCCCCAGAGGGACGCAGGGCCAGGCCCACTTGTGGAACCTTGGAGAGGCTCTGCTGGCTGGGGATCTGCGGAGAGGCCCAAAGCCTGCCCTGTGCGTCACAGAGGGAAGGAAAAGCCCCATGGGAAGGGGACCTGCAGCCCCCACCTCCTTGTCTGGTCACCATGGATACCGTAGGACCGTTACCACAATCTAGTGAAGGCAGCAAGTATCTGCTGGCGGTCTGTCACTGGGCCACTCGCTGCCCAGACCGCTAAATGTGTAGCACAGGAACCAGAACCGAGTTGGAGTTGGAACCTTGGAGGTCTTCTGGTCCTCTGGTGAAGCAGGAAATCCTGTTACAGGGATGGCAAACCTTTTAGGCATAGAGTGCGCAAACCAGAAGGCGCTGGAAACCCGATGGCCAGCTGGCTGAGCTGGGACGATGGCGCACGTGCCCACAGAGGTTCGCCATCAGGGTCCTATACCGTTTCAGACAAGTGACCGTCCGGACTGACCGGCCCTCTCTCAGCAGAAGGGGGGCGGGGACGACACCATCCATCTCCTCTTTACAACACGGCCCTTTCAGCAGTTCCAAGGAGGCTCCACGCCCATTTGCACTGCTCAGGTGACCCTGCGGGCACAGATAACCTCCAAGTGGCCTCAATGGCTCTCAGGAAGAGTGCGAAGGACCAGATAACTGCAAAGAATACAAATCTTTCCATTCCCCACCCTTGTCAGAACTGAAGAAGCTTCTTGGATGAGAAGCAAAACATCTTCAAGGAAAAAGTCCGGTTGCCTTTGGGAAAAGGGCCTTTGGGGCCGTCCTTACAACGCACAGCAGCATACAAGGGCCTTACGAAACGCAGGGACCAAGCCCCAAGGAGCTTCCTTAGGAAATACGCAGGGCAGGACCCAAACACGGCTACCTGCCCTCCTGTTTGCATGGGGGGGGGGGTTTCTGCAGGCATGCAAGGAACCCGCTTGAGGGACTACAGGGAGGACAGCCTTGTGGTGTTTTAGACTTCGTTAAAGGAGGCTGGTGTGGAGACCTAGAAGAACAGGGTACGTCCTGATGAGAAAGAGCAAGTGGAAGGTCCTTCGCCCAGGGACACTGAGCCAGCGCCAACGCCAGAGGAAGCCAGAAGTCCCCGTGCACTCAAGGGTCGAAGGCCAAGAGACTTAAAGTGGGAGACCCTGCCACTGCTGCCTGGTAAAGAGCGCAGACCCCGGGCCCAATGGCAGCGTCCCTACAAAGTGAGGAGCAGAACTGGCCAAGCCAATGGCCAGACAGAATTTGGGAGCCCAACAGCTTTGGGAGAAAACAAACCAGTGGCCGTCCGGAAGGTATTCCAGCCCCCAGGACTGGACATTCGCTCCTCTCCACCGTTTGAAACGCCCTGGGATCTCTGGGCAAAGCGAGGGGGAGGAGAGCCGGTCCCTGACTCCTTACAGGGCTGTGGCGGCCATGGGAGTGCTTGTTGGTGTCTCTTCCATGCATGTCGTTGTGCTCATACAACACCCCCCCCTCCAGACAGGTGTGTACAAGGGCTGCCCCTCAGGAAAGAGGAAGCGAAGGCTGGGACCCTGCAGGAGAAGCCCTGAGAGCCCCAGGAAGCTCCCTCTTGCGAGGAGCACCCCAAAACCTCCGCCCACCGGAAGAAGGGGGTGCCTCCAAAGCTGATGTGCTGGAACTGTGTGCCCCAGCCTCTTTTCACCCCTCCCCTCCAGCAGGTGGACCATGAGAGGATCCGCCAGCAGCTGTCCCATGGCCGTGAAGGGGGGCTCAGTGGGGCACAATATACACCCCCCCCCCGGCAAATACTCCTCCTGGGAAGTTCCAATGTGGGGAGCAGGAGGCTCCTTCCAGGCTTAACGTCCCACTTGGGCAGAACGAAGGCAGTTGTAGGGTGGTGAACAGCCCCAGAGCGAGGCAGCCTGGCTGGTCCAGATTCCTCCCTCGGCAGCCGTGGCTCCTTTGCAAAGTTATCTTTATACCCGGAAAACCCAGCTGGGGGCCAAACAGCCGCAGGTGCTTGGTGTCACGAAAGCGATGAGCATCCTTGATGCGTAGCTTTATGAAGCATTCCCCAAATATCATTTATCAATCAATTTAAATATTTAACTTAAATATCAATCTGATATTTTTCAACTATCAATAGCAGTTTGCCTGCGGGCCTGAGGAAAGGAGGTAGGAACAAAAAAACCCTCCCTTCTCCCACAAGGAAATGGGGGTGCTGGAGGCCACGGCTCGCTTTAGGCAGTTCTGCCCCTGGGCCAGATCTGGGCTGCCCAGGCACCCATAGACCAGCCTCACCCCGCAGGAGGAAAGGGTGGCACCGCTGGCCCTGGAAAACCGGTGAGCTTTCACTGGGGCAAACTGGGCTCCCGAGGACTTTCTGACGGAGCCTCCGAAGCGCCCAAGAGAGCCCCCCCCAGAGCCCCCACTTGCCCCTCCACCATTCGGTGTCCCTAAGGGGCCAGTGCGGCCAACGTGGCTCCTTTGGGGAGGGGGGAAACCCTGTTTTGGTGGGCAATGGAGCAGAGCGTTTAACTGGATGGGATTTTCTACCTGCTGCTCCTGTCCCAGCTGCCCTTTGGCCACAGGAAGCCCCAGCACACACACCCCCCAGACACCTGTCATGGGGCAGATCAGTCCCCCCCCCCCCAATAGACGTTCGTCAGATACACAGTCCTTTTTGGTGGAAGGATTTGGGTGCCAATTTATTGGCGGATCTTGCTGTGCCAACAGCGCCCTCTGTCCTTTGCAGGCTGCCCCCTTGCTCTGCTTCGGGCTCTTGCCTTCTTTCGGCCCCAGAGATTCCTGCAGCGGGGGAGCCCACCAAGGCCCCGCCTCCCTCTGCCCTGGGCCCTCACCAAGGTGGGCACTTCAGTCTAGGCCACCCGAGATGGGCATCCGGCTGTCGTACCAGGGGAGCTCTTCCCTGCACCCCGGTTCAGCCCCCTGGCTGCCCCTTTCCAGGCCAGCCATCACTCCCGGCGTCCTCTTCCTCTTGAATGCTCAGGAGCCTCTTGGCGCAGGTGCCCTCCTGGCCTGGGCCACAGCAACGTCTCCCCCAGGGGGTCACCGGAGGGAAAGGGAGGCCGCCCTCTTCTGGGGCACTTCTGACCCATCGAAGCATCTCCGCCACAGGTTTTCCTGGCAGGTGCCCAACCCCCCCTCCAAGCAGCCGCCCTTGCCGTCCGCAGGCATTGCTGAGGTGCCAGGTAGTAAGGCGTGCTCAGTACGGGAGGCCTCCTCAGGAGGCCTGACCCTTCTGGCCCGGTCAGTCTGGGGCACGAGGCCGACCAAAGGCTGGGAGAGGGCCAGAAGCAGCCCTGCTGGCCAGCCCCCTCCTTCCCCAAACTCTCTGCTCCAGCCAGCAATCCATCCCCCCCCCCATCCCCCAGCAGCACCCAAGGGGTGGCTCAGTGCAGAGGGGCATTCCCGGCCTCCTCCTCCTCCTCCTCCTGCTTCTCCTCCTCCTCCTCCTCCTCCTGCGGGGAATCCAGCAGCAGCAGAAGCTCCAGGTCTGCAGCAGAGCCAGGCCCCTGGGGGTGCTTTGTGCCGCTTGGCCCTGCGGGGGAGGGAGGGAGGGAGGGGTTAGCTGCCCTTCGAGGCCCCCCACGGAGAGAGCATCCCCTGCACCTCCCCTGCGCCCCCCCCTCCTTACCCCCAAGGGCCTTCAGGGACACGTGCAGAGAGATGCCCAGCAGGCAGACGACAAAGCCCAGCCAGTTCAGGGGAGAGAGCTGGTCTCCCATCAGGTGGGCGGCCAGGAAGAGGGTGAAGACTTCCTGGGGACAAGGCAGCGCGTCAACTCGGCCCGAGGTCCCTTGGCCAGAGGCGGCTGGGGGGTGGGGGTGGGACAAGCTCGGTCGCTTCCGCTGGGGGTCCCCCTGACAGCCTTAAACAACCCCCACCCTTCCGGTTCCCACTCTTTCTGCTTACGGGGAATTGTGAATTCTGAGCAGCTCCTGGGGGGGGAGAGAAAGGGGGGGGGGGAGAAGGAAGCGCACAAGACAACCGGCCCCTCCTCCTCTGGGGGCCCTCAGATCCACTGAGGAGAGGAGGGGCTGGAGAAGGCCCCCCCCCTCCACTAAATACCTTGAAGATCCCCGAAATGGAGAAGGTGAGGCTGGAGGTCCTGGAGACCAGGAGGAACTCGGAGAAGCCCAGCCCGAAGGCCAGCACCCCGCCCAGCGCCAGCTTCCCCAGCAGCTCCAGCAGCAGCCGCCCCTCCTGGAAGCGGAACAGCTTCTCTGACGCAGACAAGGGGAGACCTGGGGAAACAGGGAGGGAGGGAGGGAGGGAGGGAGGGGGCTCGCTTGCAGACCCAGATCCACCACCGGCTGATCCGGAAGCAGGTCCCAGAGGTGGGGGGGGGCGGGGGGGCAAGGCCTCCTGCCCTACAGTCAGCCGGAGGGCCTTTCCCCTGCTGCTCCTTCCCCAGAGGGGGGGGGAGGGAAGAAAGCCCCGAGGGAATCCCACCAGGGGGAATCCCCCCTTTAGCAGATCTGCAGAAGCCCCACCCCCACCCCCAGCACAGGCCAGATCTCCTCAAAGGCTGGCAGGTTGGGAACCACGTGTGTGTGTGTGTGTTGGGGGGGGGGGGGCTTCAGGTCCTTCTCCGTCACAGCCTCTGGGAAGGGAGGCCCTTGCCTGGGTTCCCCCCCCCCCCGGTAGCTGTGCAACCCCAGGAAAACATATTTTGAGCTGCAGAGCCAGACAAACACGTCAGGGGCTCCTTCTGCCTGACACGCGTGAAGCTCCCCTGGTGCGAATGGGACTGTGCGAGCGACCACCAGCCCCCTCGGCTCAGGCAAGGGGAGCTTGGCCATTTCTCCCACGACCCGGTTGGGACCAGTGGGTGGCCCGGCAGTGGGCCATGGCCTGGGGGTTGGGGGGCCTTGCTTTAGAGGGCTGCAATAAAGGTGGATTTCATGGAAGACCGACGGGCTCTTCTGGCCGGGCAGGAGAAAGGCAGTCAAAGGTTTAGGCCGGGCAAAGCACTGTGGGAGGCAGGGGGCCTGCAGAAAGGACCTGGGCACCCCAGTAGGTCACAAGGGATCAAAGCACAGGATCTTCCTCAGTGGGAAGATCCTAGGAAGGCTGGGAAGAGCTGTGCAGTGGGGTGGGGGTGGGGGAGAGAAGGGTCGCCGTGGGGCTGGAAAGCTGCAGCGGGGAGCCTGGGAGGGTGCAGGGGTTGAAGTAGCTGAGCTCCTTCATTTCATGCCGTCTCCTAACAGCTCCCCACTCCAGGTGGCCTGAGGTCACTGCTCCCCCAGTGAGTCCATTCCCCACCCCCACCCCACCCCCCGCTGACCTTCAAACACGGCAAAGAGCGGGAAGAGGCTGAGGAACATGGCCGGCTGCAGGTGGAACATGGTGTCGATGGGGTTCTGGAGGCCTGCAAGGGAAGGGAAGGGCTGGTCAGGGGAGGGGAGGGAGGGAGGGAGGGAGGGAGGGAGGGGGAGGCCTTCCCGCAGCCCCTCTCTCACCCACTCACCCAACTCGTCCTTCTGCAGGAGGATCTGGGTCCGGGTCCAGCGCACGCCCCCCAGGAAGGAGGCGCCCAGCACCATGGCGAAGCCTTCAGTGTCGAACTGGGTGGCTTTGTAGGTGAACAGGAAGAGCCCCCCCGCGATGAGCAGCACCACCAGCACCAGGGCGGCTCTCTGGCAAGAGGCGGAGGAGGAGCAGCAGCGTCACCCGCGGGCGGAGGCGCCGGGCTCAAACCCCCAAGGCTGCCCACGGGGGGAAGGAAGGGGGCGTCTCACCGGCTCCTCCAGCTTGAAGACCAGCGAGAAGAGGAGGATGAAGAGGACGGCCGAGGACTTGGTCATGGTGTAGCTGCCGGGCAGGGAGGGAGGGGGTGAGGGGCGCCCCTGGAGCTCAGGCAGCGTCCCCCACTCCCGCCAGCCTCCCCGGCACTCACAGGGAGACGGTGATGTAGAGGAAGCTCCAGTTGCTCAGCCCCACGTCCAGGGCGGTGGAGAGCGCTGCGCGCGAGGGGGAAAGGCGCCGTCATGAGTGCCCCGCTTGGTCCCGGGGAGAGGCCGCCCGCTTCCCGCCCCGGCGGCGGCGGCGCTCACCTGTGGGGGCCACCTGGCGCAGGTAGGCGGGCCAGGGCAGGAGGGCGCGGCCGGCGGCGGCGGAGTGGCAGCAGCGGCGGAAGCAGCGCCTGGCCAGCCCCGAGAGCACGAAGATGACCAGCAGGTGCAGCAGCGTCATGAACAGCGGGAAGGCGAAGCTCTGCGCGGAAGGGAGGCCACGCGGTGAGCCGGCGCCCGCCCGGGCCGCCCCTCCCCTCCGGGCTCCTCCCCCTCCGCCCCCACCTGCATGAGCCACTTGTTGTAGAAGGTGATGCCGATGGAGAAGCCGTAGTAGAGCAGCACCAGCGCCGCCGCCCGCCCCGCCGCCCGCGCCCCAGCCATCGCGCCGGCCGGAAGCGCCCCGCGGCCCATAGAGGCCGCGCGACTAGAGCGCCCGCTCCCCCAGCGCCCCCTGCCGACGGCGGCGCAAAGAAGAGGTCGGAGCCGGGCTGGAGGAGGAGCTTTAATGGGGGGAAGCGCGCCAGGTCCAGCCGACGCCAGTGCGGGGAGGCTCAGCCGTAGTGGTAGGCGAAGTCGTAGCTGCTGGGCTCCTTGGGGACGGGCGGCGGCTCCTCCGGGATCTGGACGTTCTCCAGGTCCAGCAGGCGCAGCTTCATCTCCATGCTGAGCAGCGTCTCCAGGTCGCTCTTGGTCAGCTCGCTCGCCATCTCCTTCCCCAGCAGCGCGTTCAGGCCGTCCACCCAGATGCAGAACTGCGGGCACCGAAAGCGCATCTCAGGCCGGGCGGGGAGCGCGGCAGCCCCGGCCCTTCCGTCCACCCGCTTCAAGCACCGCAAGAGCCCCGGCGCAGCCCAGGACGTTTCCCCGCTTTGGAAACAGAAGCCGGGAGCAGAGAAGCAGCCCCTGCCGAGTAGGGGAAAGGCCCCAGGGCAGGACGGGGCAGAGCTGGCCCGGCCTCCGAGGGGGGAGGGCTCTGCACCTTCTTCCCCTGGTTCAGCTAGCAATGGGGCAGAGCTGCTGCTGCTGCTGCTGCTGCTATAAAGACCAGGGAGGAGGAGGGAGGAGGAGGGAGGAGGGGGGCTTTCGCTCCATCAGTTTTGGCTGGTCAAATCCCAGACAAACCCCACGGGGAGCCCACGTCCCATTCCGGACACCACCATCCCGACTGGAGCAAGCCCAGCGGGCGATGGGATAGGAAGGGGGGGCGGTTGAAGAGGCTGCTCTCTGAAGGGCCCTGGCATTTCTGAAGGGC